AAAAAAAAATCACAACGCTATTAGTAAGTAAAATGATAGATATTGTCTGGGCGCTCGCTTTTAATTCCAAATATTCTAGCAACCTGAGTTCGATTCCCAGTGCCGGCACCACTGTCAATTTTAAGTGCTTATCACGTGCCCAGTGGTGAAGGATAACATCGTGACGATACCTGCATATTTTCAAAATAATAATAAAAAGAAAATATCTCGTAGATATGTTAAGACATACTCGTATATAGGATGTTACTTTACTTTATAGAAGTTATACTGTATGGAATATCTAAAGCTTTCTTTTCAATTGCTGTTTACAAGTTGGCAACTTGGGAACACTTCCCGGGGAAATATTTCTTGTACTACAACAGTTTCTCAGAAGCACAAGATAGAAGAACAGACGAAGTATTTAAAAAGGTTTAGTACTCGTAGAAAACTTGTTTGTTCTTTCATAAATATAAAAGACAGGCACCAGGGATCGTGAATTCTCACACACAAAAATATTTTTTCAGCTTTGTTATAAATACAGAATTATTTTTAAAGATATAGTTTTATAAATACTATTTTGGTATATAAAACGACCTTCTGAAGAATAAGAATCTTAGCCATATAATATTGTTTATTAAAAAAATAAATATTTAAGGGATACACTTCAGTTGTTCGTTTTTGTGGCTGTACATAAATAAGCCATAAAATATTCCGTAGCAAGATCTTGCTTTTAACTTTTATGGTCTTCTATGTATATTGCATAATACTTTATGAAGTACGAACACGACCCAAAATAGGTTTAATAACAAGGTAATGATAAAACTTTTGGAGAAATAGTACGGGGCGCCATAAAAAGGCACTTTGTGTTTCTAAACCATAAAAGTTGCTGAATCTGCGATTGGAGTTCTTTACCGCTATGGTTCTAAATGAGATAAAGTTTTACTCTCAGTGTTTATTTTTCTAAATACCGAATACATTAGACCAGACGCACTACAAGCACTTGTTGATAATTTGGACTGAATTCCATGGCCGACAAATCAAAAGCACATCTCATACATATATTATACTCCTATGTGTGCATAAATTTTGATTTAAAATTAATGTTTCCAATCTCCAACTATCATACAAAAGCGTGGGCAGTACACATTATGATCAAAAAGGAAAATTTTTGATTAGCCAGTGACACCATATTGTACCCAAGTTGTTGTTTGGTTTTCTATCTTTTTATTTATGTGAGAAGATGGAAAACGAGATGGCGATTCACCTGATGTTAAGTGAACACTGACGCCATATGACATTTCCGACACCCATAGGGTTGCAGATGCGTTGCCACCTTTTAATAAAGTCGGCCCCGCTTATCTAACTCACCAGACGAAACGTAGAAGTATAACACGGGGTAGGGCCACGCAAAAGTGTTGCACGAATGGGCAGGTCCGACCGGGTTAGTACCACGACCTCACACAAGATCGGCGTGAAGTAGAAGTGTGCACTTCTGCGTTTCGTCTGGTGAGTGAGGTAGCTGGGGCACACTTTATTAAGAGGTGGCATAGCATCTGCAACCCTATGGGTGTTGCAAATGTCCATTGGTAAGCGGTTATCACTTAACATCAGGTGAACCGCCAGCTCGTTTGTCCCTTTCTTACATAAAAAAACAATACTTCACGCCTGTCTATTACCAAAACGCTTTTTTTTTTCATTATTTTAAGCTAGGTTCTGCGACAAGCTGGGTTTAACTTAGTTTCAAATTAATATAATATTTTATTCCGTCATCCCCTTTGAGTATTAAATAATTTTTTTAAACGTTTTTCATATACATAATGTATTTTAAGAAATTTATATATTGCTGAATTTTGTTTACAACTAAAAACTGTATCGTACCAATCTAGGTCAATACTATAATGCAAAGGCAATGAAATGAAACATGAATGGTGTAGGACATCGGATATACCAAAAAGTAGGTACTCGAAAGTATTGGAAACTACTTGAATAAAATCAACTAGTGGAAATTGTGGGATGAGCTATTTAACTATGTCATTTAAATCATTTTGTTTACAGGTCTCAATTTTTTTAATAAAACTGAGAGGCAATACTAGTTTTAGGTATTATGTAAAATCCATACTAATATTATAAATGCGAAAGTAATTCTATTTAATAAAAAGTAAAGAAAGTATGAAAATGTCTATCTGTCTCGCTTTCACTCCAAAACTACTGAACCGATTTAAATGAAATTTGATACACAGATAGTCTAGAGCCTGAGAAAGGACACGGCCTATTTTTTAGTTGTAGAAAAATGTTGTTAAGGGTTGAAAGATATTTATTTAAGGGCTTCAATGCGAGCAAAGCCGCGGGCGAAAAACTAGTAGTATTGAAAAATCAACAGCTTTTAATCTGATAACCGAAAATTAGTACAAAAAACTTGGTACGAAAATCGTTACCACTTTTATTCATTTTAAATAAGCTGTTGTTTGACTATTCAGTGGCAACAACAATAATGTTGACCACACAGTAAAGCAAGCCATATAATTCAATCAGTAATAGACAGGACTGTTGCGTGTTTGGTACAATTTGAGTTCATGATTTACATTCATACACAGTCCGTGTCGTTGCATGATAAATCTGTAATCATGTTATTAGTCACGCACTGGTGTTACCTAGCAGCTCTGCGAGGCCTTACAAATGGTTAAATCGTACGTTTCCAATGCAAGTGCATGCACTGGTAAATATGTTGTTTTCTAATACGTTCAGAATTTTGTAGAGCTTCCACCCAGCTTTTGAGTGCCGAGTCAAATCGTTAATATACTCTGAAGAACAGCTGAATATAAAATTAGATTTTTATATAAATCTTATATTGATACAATTTTTTATATAACATAAACTTTACGCAGTTATATAATACTACACTAATAACGAGTACATAATATCCTACCTCAGTGGTTGAAGTTTGGGACTGGATGTCTCGTAAAAAGTCTCGCGGCTGACCTTATAGCTTTGACGAACTCTCAGCTCAACAATGGTCAGCCGCAGTGGCTTTTTAGCCAAACCTCAGGTAGCGGTATCATGGTAGATTTGTGTATCCTACCTCAAAGGCCGGTAATGCATTTGTCCATGGGCTTCCATTACTACTTAACTATAGCGGAATAACGTTATGAATACTAGATAAACACATAATAGATGATATAGAATTAAAATGTGACATATAGATTTCATGAAGTATATTGTGGACATCTAATCTAAACACAGTAAGGGCGTCTAATGTAAACAGTAATTAGGTTACAAAATTTTTCGATTGCGGAAGTGACGAGCGAGCCCCTGTTAAAGTTATACTTTCTCAGGAATTTACTCTGAGAAAATGTAACTTTAATAATTTGCCTTTACAAAGTTGTCACAGTATTTATATGTAAAAATAGATCTAAACTGAGATTTTTAGAAGTGCGTACTTGACTTGGTACGGTAATAAGAATATTGGTGGATATTGAGAAAATTATACAAGTTTGGAAAAACGGTAAAATTTTTATTGTTTCCACATACTCGTAATGGTTACAGTCTGTAGATTTAGGATAATTTTTTCAATTTAAAACCTATAAATGTATTGGAAATGCCAAAGATTTATATAGCAACGTTAATACTATTAACTATTCCGCTTTGTCTTATTTATTAAAAATACCGCCTAAAGAGTTACAAAACTACAGGATACTAATCATGAACTCAAATAGCATTAATCAAAAATAACCCAATCTCACTGACTACGTTGTTTTTTTCTTTCTTTTCTACGTTTCTTCTGCATTTCGTCTGATGAGTGAGGTAGCTAGGCCACACCTGTGGCATAGCATCTGCAACCCTATTGGTGTTGCAAATGTCCATGGGTAGGCGGTTATCCCTTAACATCCGAGATGGCTCGTTTACCACTTTCTCCCAATAAAAATATTACTAGCGATGAAATTTTAAATGAAAGTGCTAATGTATTAATTACTATCTTTATTTGTCAAAGTTTTCCTTAAGTTATAGTACATTTTCTTTCTTAATTAATTCTATATTCATTATTTATTAAATTAAATCTCCGAATAAACATATTCTAATGTTTAAAAATTAATAATAATTCATAGTTAATGTATTACATACGTTATTTACAAAATGTTATATACAACCAACCTTAAAGACATATATTTATAATATTTATCATTATTACATAAATGATTTCAATCTAAGAAAATCTAAAATCAACTTCAAAGGTGCGTTTTTGCATACATAGTAATAATAAAGATGTTTCGTGTGAATAACAAATCGTGTCCAAAATTATGTATAGAAATTTGTTTCCTTGATGCATTTTATGCAATATAAATAAATTATCACGACAATAACATTCACTAATTCAACTGAAATATGAGGTTTTCATATATTATAAACGTTTATTTCATTTCTATCAAAATTAATTTAAAATATAAATATCTTAGGTTTTTGACTCGATGGGTTTAGTAGTAGTAACAATATCGTACGTCATGCCTTTTTTGGAAATTGTCATTACTATATATATATATATATATATATATATATATATATATATATATATATATATATATACACACAAATATAATATCATAAAAATGAAATGAAACTATTATAACATAATGTTGGCGATCTCAAAATCATAAAACTATAATGAAAGACAGGAAAGGAAAGATATTAAATGTAAAAGCATTTAAAAACTGCACGTTGAAGTAAAAAGCTTTTATATGATTGCTCTTATTTAATTTATATTTGAAGTGACTGAAATTATTTCTTTCATTACAAAGAACGTAGAGGAAAATGTAACACTAATTAAATACAGAAAATAGAAAAAAACTTAAACTATATTAAAATCGCTGGGTCAAATCCAAATTTGAAGTATATCTTTACATTAGGCGATCTCCCCACGCCGTTTCTCTTCATCGTTTGCAAATATTGAAATTTAGTTTTAATTAGTTTTGGTCTTCATATTATCTTGGTTTGATTGTATTATGAACATTTTCGACTAAATTTAATCACAGCACTGTAAAGAACATTGTCAACTTAAAAAAAAAATAGTTAGATGAAAAATAAGAAAAATGAAAGAGTTTACCGTAGACGGTGCAAAACATTATGAATTTCTCCTGTTTCAATATAATGGTGTGTTTCATAATTCTTTTATATTATCACTCGCTATTGCTAATTTTGTATGTAATTTTTCAAGTAACAATACGTTCAATTAAGAATTTTATGGCAAAACAAATAGTTGGATTTCCTGCCATGGTGTACGTGAATACTACAAAGTAAATTAAAAAAAAGTAGTTGATTTGTCTATTTATGCTAAAACATATTTCCCATTTCTTTAAACATCAATAAAAACAGTTTTATCAACGAGAAGGTTAAAAACAACTTTTGAGTATCAAAAAATCTTATCACTGTAAAGGTGTTACTAAATCCAAGATTCATTTCTACATTTCATAATCTAACCTTGACTTTAAAATTTTACATAGATTTATCATTTTGTATAGGTCTTTATGATATATAAAAACACTAGTAATAATAAACAGATGCAAAATCTTGTAGGAAAATAGGCAGTTTCTGTGTCCGAAAAAACGAGCATTATAAGACGGTAAAGCGATTTATAGAAATCAAAAGTAGCGGTAGTGGAAAACAACAAATACAATCAGACACCTTTTGATGATACAATAAAATTAGACGTTAGCCTTAAGATAAGGATACATTGTGTAACTTTCATCTAAAGCCGTCGATGGTACTCGTGTAAAGAGTTGCTAAAGTACAATACAACGAGATGAATAGATTGACGGAAAGGGCACATGGGGAAGCTATATTTGCATTACCGTGCTGCATCGCCGCTGGATGTTCTCCTGGTAAGACAAACAAGTTATTAGGTGCAGAGTCAAATATTTAATAAAATATTGTTGTATGATGCCTATAATTTGGGGTGCCTTACGATTCGAGTCTATGTTTGACTTTAATTAAGCAATTACGTGTACTTAAATTAATTTAAATATATGAACATTCACTTCACATACATTAGTGTGATTAAAATTTTACTACCATTACAAAATCATGCAACTTTTCCAACTGTTATAACCATATTCCGTAAGAATTCTTTATCTCTTTATCACACATACAAGGTACTTTTGTATTTGAACATATAATCTTTAACGGGACGCGTATATTGTTCTTTACAGGTGTGGTTGTTTCGTAACAGAGAAGTTTAGATTAGACGGTAATCAAACATTTTTGCAACATAATTGTACAATCTCTAACTAAACAAGAATAAGAGCAAGTGCTTTTGACGAGCGTAAACTGCACGATATATCTTGCACAGTTGACACAAACTCATAACAACTAAGCGTAGTGGTGGAAAAGCTCGATCAGAAGAACTGAACGATTTCGTTATTTATTAAGTCGTGGCTATAAATCTTGAAATTGTGGAAAAGGTCGTGTATATTTTTATTTTTATTATACTTGGTCGTGTGTTTCTTTGCAGTACAAGATTATGGAAGGACAAACCTTTTCAATGATAAAGCTATCTTGCCAGTTTTCCCTCAATTTTTTGTTATTAAATCAATAAAAATATTTAACTGGAAGATATGTCGTGTTATTAGTACATATCTATTTCTTCACATTTTGAATAGATATTATGCAACTTACTATCCGTGCTCCATTAAGTATACATAGTACATTTAAGAGTAATTAAGTTCAAGAAGTCATTACTTTTTGAGAATTTTCCTACTGCTGCGGCTGATAGGGTTATATAGGTCACTTACCGTTAATGACGTGAACATTCACGGAAGCTGGCTCCGCCATCGTTGGTACGCAGCTGTAGTTGCCACTGTCGCTCGGTGTCAGTTTTTCGATCGTGAGCCGCGACGTCAGTTGCTCCGTCCACTCTGTCATCAGCCGGATCCTCGGCTCCATTGACAGTTCATTTCCTTCCACTTCCTTATACTCTATTATATTTGATCCTGAAATAAGTAAATTGAATATTTTACATTGTTTAATTATAATGTCGTTCATAGTTTATGTGGTTAGTTCGTTCCCTTCCACTTCCTTATACTCTGTTATATTTGATCCTGAAATAAACAAATTGCTTATTTTACTTTTTTGAATTAGAATTACATTCAGAGTTTATGTGGTTGAATTAATGTGTCAGTGTCAAATCAACCTAGACAATGCTGATAAAAACACGGTAAAAAATGTCATATTATGGAAACGGACTTTTTTTAATTAATAATGATTGTAAAAATAATAAATCATTTTCGATCGATCAATCGATATCATTTTCTCTTAAATATTTCATTTTTGTGTCAACATGAGGTAAATGTTACAACTATTGGGCTGCTTCGCACGTTAAACACGCACTCTTTGATTTTTGACGTTTTGTAAGTTCTTTGCGTATCAAAACAACCTTTTATGTATTGGAAACATTATAAATTTATAAAGATATGAAATAATTTGAAGAATCATTACTAACCCTTATACCAAAATATAGTTCCGAGATCGTGCGGGCCTTGGCTGAGTATGCACGTGAGGGCTAGAGCACTTCCAGTTTTAACATACAAATCAGCTGGCCCTAGAATATGCGCCTTGGCTTCTGTTAAGGAAACAATTAATGCTATATAAAAATTATTAAATAATCATTACAATTGTTGTTTATTATTTAAATATATTATTTTCAAGACCAAACACCTAAAATAATTGCTGAACGTTTGTTGAACATCAGCTTTTAAATATAATTTGTTTTATTTTAACGTACATTAAAAGCGAATTTTATCTTGTATCAGACTTTGTGGCAACTTTTCACATAAAAAAAAAGTCGAAAAAACGATGAAGTGTTCTAAACCTCATCATCATCATCATTTCAGTCTGTTTGAGTCCATTGCTGAACATAGGCCTCCCCCATAGACTGCCATGAAGTATGATCCTGAGCCACCTGCATCCATCGACTTCCCGCACATTTGCACAGGTCGTCACTCCATCTAGTGGAAGGTCATCCTACACTGCGATGGCCAGTACGAGGCTGCCACTCGAAAACCTTTCTTCCCTAACAGTTATCGATGACCTACGGAACCTAAACCTCACAACGCTCAAAAATAAATTCTTCTACTACTTCAAGGTAAATTTTCAGAAAATACCATATTAAATTTAAGACTGTTAATAGTTAATATTCCTTTCTATTATACTACATGTTTTACTGTTTATATTAAATTAAAATTAATAATTTCAAGGACATTCCATAATTTTTTACTCTCTTGTCATAATATGTATGTAAATTTTAAACAACTTTTTAAAATTAACTACTACAATACGGTAAAAGTGGTAGTGAAATTCATTGAGACTAAAAATTTCAGACAAACAAAGACCTTTTTTGCCAGTACATAAATTTGTAAGATGAAACGGCTAAAGAAAATTACGAAGAAGATTGCCTTGTTTTTGCTTTTTTCATCCTCATAATTCGGTGTTTGTTTGGATATTAAAATGAAAAAAAAAAAAAAAATCTATGCAAAGCTTTCATTTATGTTGTAAGCAAGAAAAAACGTTGATATTGCCTGTAGAAAACAAATTTTATAACCAACATTTAATCCCACGAATGAAAGCATTTTTGTTGTAACCTTCAATTGACATTGTCCTTAATCAATTCAATTTGTCGAATAACTTTTGAACTTTTTCCCAGTCTTGTAAAGTAATTTAAATAAATTGCTTCTTAATTAAATCCTAAAAATATCTTAATGGTTTTTATCAATTATTTAATTTTTTTCTTATTGTTTATTCCGTTCTATGTATTTACGTCGTAAAATGGTGACCAAATTCTTGGGTATATGTGAAATGTTATTAATACCTATTTAAAGTCACTAGCATTAATTTACTATATCGCTGTATTTAATAAATGTCTTCGCCAAAAATATGAAAGTAATGACACATCTATTGGTTCCAGTAAAGTCTTCGCGTAATAATAACAATACCCCATAAATTTACAGTACATTTAAAAACTTACCGACAACATTTAGCTGGAATGCTAATGACATCTTTGGTTCAGTGTTTACTTGACATTCGTAAATGCCCGCATCTCTTTCTTGTGGAAATTTTATCTGTAGCGTCCAGTTCTCAGATTTATCCGGTCTAATCACCTGTAAGCGTCTCAATACATTTATTTTAATATTTTATATGTTCGACATAACTTTATTGTTACCTAAATAATAGTTACAGACTAAACTAAATACTTGAAATAAGTACAAACTAACTACGCCATTCATGGGGTAAAGAGTTCTCATGTATAATAAAATTCCATAGTCGGTATTAAGTCTGCCACGTGATCAATTTAAACGCAAACTTATAGCTAAAGCATCTAGACTAGGGCAATGTATAGACTAATTATCACGTAGGCTAAAATAAGACTATTATACCTATGTTAAATTTCAAACTGATCTTCGTTAGAACAGAGCATTTGTTAAGTTTCTTGCCCATCTCTTCTAAGGAAGTGCTTTGCAAACCGATGCAGTTTTTTAATTTTTATGTAAAATTCGACGTTTCATTAGAATAAGCGTCTATTTGAATATTTGAATAAATTTTAAGCATTGAAAGTTGTACTAACAATATTTGAAAAAAGCTTGCATTTTTGCTATATAATATATTTTAGTAAAATACGAAAATGTTCAGCGCCAAGCTTACGTTTAAATATGAGAACTAGTAGGTATAGACTATGATAAATAATAAAAAGGAAATGGAAATTACGGTCTTTATTTTCGACAAAATTACTTACCTGAAATCTCTGATCAGATGTATATGTCAAAATCCCAGCTGTTAGTATGTGGAGGTCTCTTTTACGTATCCAAGATACCTATAACATAAACATACATAATTATAGACAATATACATGCAAGTCTAACGTCTCTTTTGTTATTATGTGTACGCACAATAGCTCAATAATCATATACAGCGTGTCGTTACCATCGCGACAATAAATGAACACACATATAGAGGATAAGTTTTTAAAGTTGTATTAAACATTTAAATTGTTTATTTTAAATACTTAAATGAAATTTAATCTTGGGAGCAACGGTGGGACAAGGAAATTCAATTATTGTCAATAATATTACTTACCGCTTTATCCCCTAGCTGTTCGACTCTACAGTGTAGAAATGCAGTCTGACCAACGACGGTAGTGACGTTCCTTGGCACAGTGTATTCAAAGTAGGGAAATGATCCGATACTGTCCTCTCCGTAGTGTGCAGTACCTGATATTATGAAGGAAATGAAAATATGGTAATTAATATACGAAACAACTAATGTCGAAATGTTTATTAGCTTGGAAGTACAAAGAAATGAATTGCATTGAAATTAATTTGACCTAGCTGAGATCTTTGAATCATTCTATTTTAACCTGGACATACTTATTTATTCTAATTAAATGACCTCTAAACGATAACGTTTAAAGGTCAGAGGTCGTTAATTAGAATATGCATTTGTATTCAGAATTGCTATTCATATCCGTAAACAATTTCGATGAAAAAATACAATACACAGTTTGCTCTTAAACAATATTATTATTATATATTTTGACTACGAACAAAGTTATATCATTAATTTTACATTTATAAATAATTAATGGTGTCTTATTCTGTAAGAAATAATTAAAAAGATGGCATATGCGTTGACTCATTAAAAATTTAACATTTTTCAGAAGTCCGTTTGTTGCAGTCCCAAATGGAATAGTAAATGACACAATTAGCGTAAACAAAGGCAGCCTGATTAAGAAATTATTCGGGCCTCCGACAACATCTGAGCTCTAATGTGGGGACGTGGCAGGTGAATCTCCTCAATTTTGGGGCTCGAACGACCCCTTTTTGCGTTGAGGTTAAGATGACAAAAAGTACTTTTCGTTTAATGCTTCTATTAAAGGCTTTGTGAAATTTTATTTCAAATATATTTGTAAAAATAGTTGTTGCGTTAAATTTAAATCGATATTGTGCCTTTATTTTTTTTGTTAATTAATAATCTTATCCTTTAAACGAGCAATTCTTGTATATATGTATATATATATATAATTGGAATCTCGGAAACGGCTCCAGCGGTTTTCATGAAATTTAGTATTTGCGTAGATTCGGTCCATATTTTCTTACGATGTCTAAGGTCGCTTCAAATCATAACTTTTATTATTATGAAAACTTATAGTCTTTGAGCACACCTTAAGTCGCCTCAACCATCAGATCCTTAGAAAAGAATACTAGTTGTTATCCGCGGCTTCACCCGAGCGGCCAAGGAGAATTTACAATGAGCGTTTTACTATACACTACTTAGTTGACACTTATCATTACCTATATTTTGCACAATTCACAAAATGTCTTTAAATATTAAAGCCTATTTTTGATGTATAAGCTATATTATTGTAAGGTTTCATTAAAATCTATCCAGGAGTTTTTGGGTGAAAGAGTAACAAACATCCATCCATTCATACAAATTTTCGCCTTTATAATATTATTATAGAAGATGGTTGGGTGCCAGTATCAGCTTTAGATCCTATCGTCAATAAATTTAAATATAGGCCCAAACGAACCATCACTCCAATACAAGATACAATTAACACCGTAGGTTAGTAGGTACTTTTATTATTAAAAACTGTAGCTAGCCCGGGTTAAATTATGACATTCGGACGTCTAACGCCTCAGTCTGTCCCGTGACCACGAACGCTGAAAAGGGTTCGAAACGTTGAGAAATAAAATTTAAAAATAAACGTGACAAATCCGAAATAATTTAAGTTACACTTTTTGAGCGTGGTGGCCGATAACATATTTTTTTTCTTTTATTGAATTAATGAGAAGTAAATACCGTTTAAAATATTTTTATTGACTTAAAATACAAGTAGGTTATTCAGGAATTTTTATCATTGATACTATAGGTTTATAACTATAGGAAATAAGAAACATAAGTTTGAGACTTGATATCCTCTAAATATCAAAAATTATCATATGATAATGTAATATTATAATATCCATCCGTGTGAGTTACATACACGTTAAGCGAAGTTTTGATTTAATTGATGGATTATAATATTACTAGCACTATTCAGGCAGAAAGACAGATATACATAAAATATGTTTATAAATTATAGCCTATATCTTATTCTTATGTATGAGCTATATTATTGTAAAGTTTCATTAAAATTCATTCAGTAGTATTTGCGAGAAAGATTAACAAACATCCATCCATACATACAAACTTTCCCCTTTATAATATTAGTAAGGATTCAATCCTTACTTAGGATTTAGTGAATCTATTAAAACCAAATCCTTGTCCTTACTGTAGCTAACACGCAAAGACTACTGAATGGATTTTAATGAAACTTTGCAATAATAATTATAACTTATACATCAAAATAAATAGACTATAGTTTATATACATATTTTATCTATATCTTTATCTTTCTTATCTGTCTTTTTGTCTGAATGTTTCGCCTTCAGGCTATTCTACGCAGACGTAGTCGCGGGCAGAAGCTAGTAAATAATTTTATGAGTTGTGAACATATGAAAAGACATGTTAAAATCAGTAAAAAAAAATATGTGTGTACTTATGTAAGCACGTGAGAAGTTATACTTCATTACCGTAACAAATAGAAATAACATTTTTAGTGTACTTCCAATGCCGGTTGACTTTGACTCATTGTTTTTAAAAAAGACATTAAATGCAATTTTTAATTAATAGTTTAATTAACTAACTTGGAACTATAGGTAAATGTTGCAAAATGTATAGGTAAATTCAAAAGCTTGTTATTGGTTGCCTTTGCAAGCAACTTTTATTTGAGCCGTAAGACCTTGCTGAACTCGAATTTTCTAAATTCGGTTAAAAATAGTTAAAAAGAGAAAATTTCTAAAAATACAGAAATTTGAAAATTAAGGTAAATTTTAGTATTACTAAGTTTTTGCGAAAATCTTATATCTTTTTATCGTATTGATTCGGGGTCTTGATTTTTATACAACTAATAGGAACTGAAGACCTTTAAGTATTTGGTATAAATTTCAACTTGTTAGGTCCAACCGTTCCTAAAAAATCGGCGGTGACACGGACTGACAGACAAGAGATTGATCTTTTAAGGGTTCCTTTTTTACCTTTTGAAGTACGTAACCCTCAAGAGTGTAATTATGAAATTAGATAAATCATATTTTTGCATACCAAATACTAAATAAATTCACAACTCTTTAGTAAAGCTTCGAAAAACTGAAAATCGAGGATAGTGTTGAATGAAAAAGAAGTGAAAAATCCTTTTTGTGTTTAAAAAATTTGCGAAGCAAGTTTTAAGAATTGTGCAGTTGTAATGAAAAGTGAAACACGAACGCGTCGCACTTTTACGTTTATAAGCTTGACATTAACGGTGTTAACTTTCATTTGCCGGCAGCATGGATTTAGCATAATCTAAGCTGCAGTCAAAGGAGTCGCTTTAAATTCCCTCGCAAGCCCGCCAAGTTTTCTCAGCGAATAACACTTTCGTTTTAAAACTTTAAGAGGCTTAGTATGAGGCTGTTAGGTCAAGTGGTCGGTACGTGTGAGGCTTCCTCGCTTAAGCCAGTTTCATTAATAACGAGCCGGAGTGCAATCTTGGGCTTAAAAAGTCGACTTAACTCTGCGTTACTATGTAAATACGATCATAAAAGATTTTCAAGCAGGACTGATAAACACACAAAATTTACTACCGGGAATTTTGATGTGGTTATGATACGTTAACGTAAATACCTTAAAGATAAAAAGACTGCTAGTCAGTCATATATATATATAGGAATATCATGTATTCCGGTGGACTCAGGTTCAATTCCTCACAGCCGTCATATACTTTTCGTATATTTTTCTAAATTTTTCTCAAAATGTTTTATTTTTTTACAATTTTTCTACAACTTATTTTAAATGACGTCGTGAGAATGTTCAACATATCAGTAGACTTCTACTAAAATGGTTACTCCCGCTATGCGTATTTACTCAATTTCATTCCACAGCAGCTTGTGACTTTCTTTCTGTTTCTTTAGCCATGTGAACAGATTCTCTCCTAAGTTTCTGTATAACTGAATGAATGACAGAGCATCATAATTATTTCAAACAAACAAAGAAGGATTTTAAACATTTGTGTAAAAGATCTTAAGTTTACCTTACCTTGACTCTCATTAAAGAATCCAAGTACCATGATGATGATAACTATCAGGCCAATTTTCATTCGATAACCAAGAAAGCAGGCCGTCTGCATTTCTACTTTCCACATTGCCAGTCCTAGCACCATTTAGCGCCGCCTCATCCATTCGTTATACAATTGTATATCTATTCTTGTTTGCTTATGATTTATTCGGCACATCATCTGAAACAAAGGAATAAAATTATACATTCATCCCACTTCACTTTGCTCATTTAGTTTTTTGAGGTTAAAAACATTATGCCTTTAAAAATATCACTGAGCCAATTTTAACAATTATTTAAACTATGTCGTGTAAACAATAGGTTAAATAGTAGAACTTAAAACTCAGCGGAATCTGTGGATTTTTTTTATGGAAAGGAGACAGACGAGCTGGCAGACCACCTGGTGGCAAATGTTCTTCACCACCCATGGACACTCGCAACACCAGACAAGTCACAAATACTTTGCCAGCCTTAGACAAAGTATTAATCCGAACAACTCCACAGAGCACTCCCCGTCATAGATTCGATAAAAACGTAAATAGACGAAACATCTCTTCGCAAAGTCAATTGAAAAGAGTTGGAATTGGGCCGCCCCGGCCCAGAGATGAGAACCATATGCGGAAGACTTTGCGCTTTGTAAAGCTACAGGCGATGGGATGGCAGAAAATAGTACCTCGCTCTACCACTAAGCTGTTTAGATGCCAGTTTGGATTTCTGTGCCAAGTGATTGCGAAATTGGACACTGCTCGATATGATAACTCTAAGAATTCCAGTCAAATCAGTGGCAACGGGGGAAGTGCTTTCAAAGAAGGAAGACATGACGAAGGGTTTCTTCTTTGCGGTAAACGATCAAACTGATGGCTTCTTAGAGTTAAATTGGACTAGGTTTTATCGGCCACATTCCGAGAATTTGCCTAACAAATTCTTGACTTCACAAATAAGTTTAGCCGACTATCGGTACATTCCTGAAGAATTTTTGCCCAGCCGACTTATAAAGTGTCAGCAGTACTGACATCCGCATAGCAATGAATGCTGCTAATATTATAATTAAAAGACGTTGATATAATGTTGAATAAGTTCGAGTTTAATTTTGATCGGATGTTTTTATCGACAGTTTCATCAACAACTCACAAGTTGAGGGAATTTTATGACTTTTAAACAAAATTTAAACGCTTTATGATTGTAGATGTTTTGTATAGTGCTATTCTAAAATCTAACTGGAGAAAGTAAAAAGAAATAATTGCGAAAAGGTTGCCTGGAAGAAATTACTCTTAGTAATACGGCCGCCCATTGTACCCATCACTTCTACATTAAGTTTTAATTTTTGTTTGTTTTATTTTTGGCGTGCAATAAAGTGTATTCATTCATTCATTTATTCATTCATTCATTCATTCATTCATTCATTCAAAATCGGACATAGAGCCCAAAAAGTAAAAGTCAGTTGTTTTCATCCAACACCTTGTTTAGGATTATCAATTATAAGCACAAGACATGTATTGAAAAAGTAAAAAGAAATAATAATCGCGAAAATCAGAGATAGAGTCCTAAAAGTAAAAGTCAGTTGTTTTCATCCAACACCTCGTTTAGAATTATTAAACACAAGATATGTATTGTGTTTAATTAATAATCCTAAACATGCACATGTATTATTAAATTAATTTGTTTTAATTTTCAGCAAAATGTAGGTCACAAAGACATACTTTTTTACATTTATGGTAGTAGTAATGTATAGAACAGGAGTGGCCAAGCTTCTTGATAGCCCGTGCCGCTTTTCAAAATTGGAAATTTTTCGCTAGCCGCAATTGTAGATTTATATTTCCGTATTTCTTCGAATTTGTTTTACATAAATTATATTAATTCAAAACGTATTAATGAAAGCACAAAATATGTGTATCGTATTTAAATATTAAAAATTAAACATATTTATTTTACGTCTCTTGATAATTGTTTAAAATTTGGTGAATAAAAATTCCATATTACAAATTATATCCGTAGTAAGAGTTATACAAATTGTTTCCTCCAAAGCACAATGTCAACGGTCCGTTGCAATGAATTGATACAAATTCAAGATAAGTCTGGAGTCGATCGATTGCGGACGGTTACGCCACTGTTATGTTCGTTTGCGCAGTTTTTCGATGAGTCATATCTTTCTTAACTTGGACGGAAATTAAATTTATTACAAAGTTGCAGTTACATCCGGTTTTTGGAAAAAACATTACATTACATGACAGCTGAGAATCCATTTGACAGTTGATTAGTTAACTTCTACGATTATCAGTGTTTCAGAAACCGGGCGATAGTCTTTCATATTTGTTTTCAGTAATTTAAAAGAGATTTTGAAACAGATAAGGACCGATAATATATTTTTTTAATATTATAGCACAATGGAGCCGTAATAGCTCGATGTCCGGGCGCTCGCCTTTAATTTCATATACTCGAGCAACCTGAGTTCGATCCCCGGTGCCAGCACCAAAGGAAAACATGGTGAGGAAACCTGCATATTTTCGAAATAATAACAAAAAAAATATTTCGAAGATATGTGAAGTCCACCAATCCGCAGTGGGGCCGCGTGGTGGACTATGCCCTAATACTCATGGGACATGTATAGGCTGATACTTTACTTTCTCTTAACTCTTGAAAACTCGGATACATTTACCGAGAGCCACAGATAATGTTTCAAAGAGACTATATCACGCCACATCGTGGTATAGTCGATTGATAATATTGATACATGGTAAAACTGTTATGGGTTTATGTTTGTGTCAGTTAAATATGTTTTTATAACGAGTATTTTCTTATAAAATGAATGAAAAATACCTTTTGGTTAGGTTAGGACTCTACATTGTTCTTCTGTGACGCAGTAATGGGCACATAGCAGCTTCTGCTTGTGAACCAATGGGGAGGTCCATTGGTTCTGTGTACTGCTGTGTGCCCCCATCAAAATTAATTAAATGTAAAGTTAGCAATTATAACAATCATCCGATTTCGATACTGTTAACTCCGTCAATGTACCGCAAATTACTTCGATATGTTTTTATCTTCCATCGAATCATTCTTGAATCATTTGAATCGCACAGTAAGTCATTTTTGGTAACTTCTGTACTTATCACTTGCCGACGCTCCGGTGATGTTTAGATTTTTCCTACAACATTCTTTTTCGATTTTTCTTACAGGAATATCTATATTGGGAACAGTTTATTAATGAATGTTCTTCTACGAAATTAATTGCATTTGAGCACTTTTTTTCCATGCCACCTTTTAACTCAATACATACAGGTCAAGACAAAATTATGATTTTGTCATATCTGTTATTCCTGCTGTATTGTTAATGCAAGCTTAGTTTTAATATACTTTTTTTCTTTTTTGCTCCATTCTTTTAAAAACCATAACTTGCCTTTTACTTGCACTTATTTTCATATTTTCCTTTTCATAATTTTACTATAGAAATAAGATTTTGTAACTCATCCAACGAAAATGCAAATTGGGTTATAAGCCTATAACCGTTATTTGATGACTACTACTTGCGCATATACTTATTTCCTCTATGTATCTAAATTGTTGATTAAAGGGTGTCCCATAAGTAAAGAGACAAAACTGAGTGTTCATATCGGCCAAGAAAAAGGTTTTCAAAAAAGAAAATAATTGTTGCCATGGTATGCACCGGTAACAAATTTGTCAAATACACGGTTTTGCAAATATTGTCGATGTTTTTCTAACATGAAGTGAAACGAACGAGAATCGTTTGCAAAAAGAGTAATTCAGTACTATCTGAATAATGGAAAATCCGAGGCAGTTCGTCATTTTTCTCAAGAATAATATATACTTGTATATAATCATATGGTATGAAAAATCAGTAGAGACTGATTTTAAGAAGATTCCGGGAAGGCGTACCATAGCAACTGATCGAAACATAGATAAAATAAGATAAAAAAAGGTTTTTAAAGAACCACCTTCAACATCTGTGAGGACTGCAGCGGACAAATTGAAAATATCTAAGTCAAGCATATCCAGAATTAAAGTTCAAGATCTAGGCATGAAGGCTTTTGTGAAATTGTCCCTTCAAAGTACTTCAAGGCCAAGAAGTGCGTGCTAAGCGAGGTTGCCGTCGAGTTTACCAAAAAACTTTGAAAAAAATCTCATAATTGATGATGAAACTTCTGTACCGGTTGACTCCTCTGACATTGATGATGATGACTCCGTGGCGTAGATGCCAAGGTATTAGCTTCGGCGTCGGGGGTCGTGGGTTGGGTGCCCACACGGGACAAATATTTGTGTGGCCCACAGATACTTGTTTCGCATCTGGGTGTTTGTCCGCGTGAAATTCATGTTTGTAAAATGTCCTTACAACACAGGATAATGTTGTCCTAAAGTAAGAGCAATGTTTTTTTTTTTTGTTTTTAAAAAAAAAATCTGGGAAGCAATATTTCCACGCTACCAGTCGTGGTGAGGTGGATTACAGCGAAAAAGATAAAATAAAGGCTAAATTTTTTAAGAAGTATCTGCTTTGGCAAGCTACAGACGGCAATGTTTCCGAACCATATATCTGTACACGATCTATGAACGCACAAATATATCTTCGAGAGTGTATTATGAATCAATTAACACCGTTCATAGACAAGTATTATCAGAGGGAAGACGTTGTATTCTGGCCGGATATGGCTTCGTATCATTACGAGTCTGAATTCACTCAATATTTGCAATCTATGAGCGTCGAATTCATATCGAAACAAAACAATGCTCCAAATGTTCCTCATCGAAATGTTTTGGGCTCTATGTAAAAAGGAATAAAAAAAGCGTTGACATCTATCAAACAAAGATGGGCTAGATTAGCCAAACGGAGTGGCAACAACTTCTGGAAAAGTAGTCATGAGACGTGCAAGCATTAATTTGAGAAAAATCGGCTATAAAGGCATCGCAACAGCAAATTTGATATAGATTGTATTTTTATTATTATTATGCATAATTTATATTGACACACATAACTGTTGACATACAATTTTTCATTAAAAAACATTTTCATTGTCTCTACTTCTGGGACACCCCAGTATATCTAAGCTGAAAACCCTTTTGGAATGCTAAATAATCTTACCTCAAATCTTTATAAAC